GGATTTTCATGTCACAACTATGGTGAAGATAAGCAATCCCATGAGCCATTCGTAAAAAAATCTCATATCTTTTGTCATAACTTAAAGATCCTCTATCCTATTTAGAAAAGACATACTTGTCAAGAGAACTATTAGGCATGAATTCATATACAAGTGCACACCTAGAGCCGCTCACACAAAATCCAACAAGTCGAACTATATTAATATGGTGTATCCTTTTGATAGTTGCCACTTCATTTATAAATTCTTGGCCACTAGCTTTAAATTTACCCAACATTTTGATAACCATATTAGGGCCACTACGAAGCTTGCCCTTGCAGGCAGTGCCAAAGCCTCCTTGACCCAACTAGTCCTTGAAACCTCTGGTCATCTTTTTAAGTTCCTTATAGGAGTATCTTATGGGAATGATGGTGTTATCTCATAGAAAATGCTCAATATTCTCATTCATGGCTAAGTGTCTTCTTGAGCATTTATAAATAACCCAAACTATGATTGTGATAGTCAATACAAATCTCACAACAATGCAGGAAGGTAGAATGAATCTTCCCTCGAGCATTCCAATGTCCCTAACTAGAGACTGTTATTGATAATTAGGACTATAGTTGCCTGGCTTGTGCCTTATGATTTGGCCTAGTCCTGACATATGATACCAAAAACAACATTGGGAAATTAGTTATTTAGGACATGTTTGCTTTCTGTTTCTAAAAGTTGTATTTTGTTTTCAAAAATAAAATAAAAAATAAATTGTTTGGTTAAGTGTTTTGGATTTAAATGCTTTTAAAATTGTTCTCACTTTTTGTTTTTAAAAACAAAAAAATTAACTTAAGGCCTGTTGGTTTTTGTTCTTATTTTTTGTTTTTAAAAACTATTTTGTAATATAGTTTTCAAAACAAAAACAATAAAAATGCATTTAATTATGTTAATATAAAAATAATTTCAGAATTAAAAATATGCTAATAGTGATAGTTGCAGGTGATTAATGGTGGTGGTTTATAATAAAAATTGATCAATCTAACTACATTTTTGGGATAATGCAAATTAGTCCTTCAAGTTTGCTTTAATTATCATTTGGTCCCTTAAGTTTAATTTTTTTTATCAATTTGATCTTAGATGTTTTCTTAAATATCATTTGAGTCTTTTAAGTTTTAAAACATAAATTGACTCTTAAAATAATTTAATGTGTAAAGTATATTAATAACTTGACATATGTATATAGCTAAATGATAACAAATTAACCCTCAAATTAGTTCAATTTTTATCTATATAATCCCTTACATTATGTTTTATTTTCTTATTTTTTAAAATTTTAGAGTCTATTTTTCTCCTATCTAAATAAATATACTTTTTTTCATTAATATACATGGCTTCCATCCATATTCTGTTATCCATGTTAGCAAATTTTAATAGTATAATCTCATTTTTAACACTAAGAACTAAATTGATAACCAAAATAAACTTAAGTGATTAAATTAATAAAAGTTAAACTTGAGGGAGTAAATTGATATATAAGACAAACTTGAGGAACTAAAAGTTACATTATTCTTATATTTTTTAATAATCAAATATAGTGTATTTTCAAAACAAGAAAAATAAAATGAAAGTAATTTTAAGATGTGTTCATTTTTTTTGTTTTCAAAAAAAAGAATAGTTTAAAAAACAATTAAATTCAAAATATTTATCAGAACAAGTTTTTTAATTTATTTTGTTTTTTTTTTAAATTCAAAAACAAGATATGCCCTTAGAGTTATTTTTGTTTTTATTTTTATTTTTAAAACACATTATATTTAATCATTGTAAATTACATGTAACTATGACAAACTACTAATATACTATCATAAGCCATCGTTATAGATTATTATTGACCACCACTATCTTTTCTTAATTATAAAATTATTTTTAAATTAACATAATCAAAAATATTTTCATTTTATTGCCATTTGTGGCTCCTCTTTGATCATCTTCCAAGTGTTTGACAACAGATGGCTGTTGATGATTGAGGTGGCTCCCCTTTGTTTTCCTTGGTTTGCCGTACTGTTTCAGTTTTAGTTCATGACAATTTCCAGTTTTAGTAAAAAAAAAAAAAAAGGGTTTACAAGATAGTTTTTTAAAAATAAAAAATGATAACAAACAAAACCAAACAAGCTTTCGTATACTCCATTTATACTACTTCTTCTTGCCTCTATTATTAGGTGTTTAATAGAAAGTTTTTTTAGTTTTTAATACAAAATACTTAATGAGGTATTAATTATATTTTTCTAATATTATATCTAATTAAGCTCATTAACTATGAGAGAAAAATATAATGTAAATTTATAAAAAAAATTTCATTTAAATAGAGGTAAAATTTGAAGTTTATTTTATTTTCAAATAAATTAATAACTAAAACACTTTTCCTTGATTTTAGTAAAATGGTTAGATGTACCTTTTCATAGGGAATAGAGGAAGCACAATATAAGATATTAATAACTACACTTTACATTTTTTAAAAAGTTAGGTGAAATCTTATATTATGGAGTAAATAATCCTTCTAAAAGGTGCTTTATAATAGGAATTAAAGAGAATATATCTTTTTAATTATATTTTCATTAAATATTTTATATAAATATTTTAATAATCATAATTAAAATTTAACACACTATTTTCTTTAAAAGATTAATAAAATGAAGTAATGATATAATTGAATAATAATAATAATAACTACTACTCCTTCCAATTTATGAAACACTTATAGACAAAATCACATGCACATATAATAAAACTTATTAAATATATTTTATAATTTTATTTTTTAATAAAAATATAAGCTTTTAAAAATAATTTTAATTTAATATTCCATTTAAAAAATAAAGAATATAATGTGAGTAATAATATTAAAAAATATCATTAGTAAACTTTTATTTTTATTAAAATATATTATATTTTATAAAGTTAAATATTTTTTTAAAAATATCTTATACTTTGAAAAAGATGAAGTCTCCAACATTGTGTATTTTATAGCAAACAAAAATTTCTAGAAATGTGAATATTGTAGTTTGAAGGAAGTAACAAACATATCGTCAAGAATGCCTTGGCTAGAAACTGCAACAAAATTCACAAGAGTCAACGAATAGTCAAACATATAGTGAAGAATGCAAAAATGGTTGAAGCATATATTTAATCTTTTAATTTTATATAATATAATATAATATTTTATTTTATTTTTTAATTTTATAAAATTTTTTTTAATCATTTAATTCTAACATTGTTAGTTTTATCCCAATAATTTTTTACATTGAGCTTTCAAATATTGACAAATTATTCTCAACTGTTGATATATTGAGTTTAATTTTTTTTTAAATAACAATGAGTGACATAAAAAATAATCATTTGAAATTAAAAAAGTTAGGATTAAATAACTAAAAAGATAATTTATAAAATTAAAGGATTAAATTAAAACTTTATATAAAGTTAAAAGATTAAAAATATATTTTAACCATGCAAAAGTTAAATACAAATAGAAAAGAATGAGTTACTAATAATTACTATGGATGTATGAGAAGAAACATGTGCCTTGTATTTTATTTTGGGTTTCTTTCTTCTTGTTTTTTTAAGTAAATTTTTCCTAAGGGCATGTTCGAGATAGAGGAATGCAAGTATGCAACCATCATTAAAATATAATAGAATGAAAAGGAGTGGAATATAGTGAAACAGAACATAACATTCAATTATTTGAGAGTTTTATTATTGGAATGAACAACTTTATTTCATTATTATCTAAGAAAAATTAATAGATTTGAATTAGTTATAATTAGGGACAAGAACAATTAAAGACCTCATAAAAACATTAATTAAATTTAAAGACCTTAAATTATTGAAATTACAATAATAGACTATGTTCTTTACTTTCAATAAAGTATCTTTAATTAATTGGTTTGAAATACAAAATTAACTTTTATAAATTCTCAATTAACATTACAAAGATTCTCAAGTAATTTTTTGTTAATTTCTCAAATGATTTATCTATATGTTTACAAAAAAAAAATCACAAGTAATTGGTTTGCAATTCACAATGGATTCTTGTAAATTCTTAATTGATATTACAAATAATTTCAAATATATTTGTAGATTTTTTAGCTTTTTGTCTGTATATTGATTACAAAAAATTATAAGTGATTTTCTTGCAATTCATAAATAATTCTAATAAATTTTCAATTAATGTTACAAATAATTTCAAATACATTTTATTGATTTTCAAGTGGTTTATTTGTATATTAACATAAAAAATTGAGATTTACAACTAATTACCATAAATTCTCATAGATGTTATAAATATTTTCAAGTGTATTTTGTTAATTTTTCAACTAAATATTTGCATTTTTTAATTTCCAGTAAGGTTATAATTTGTTATTAAAATTTCAATAATTAGGATTTTTAATTATAATTAATTTTTTATGGTGTATTTAATTGTTATATTTTTCTTATAACTATTATTCTTTTTTTAGTTTTACAGACTGCTTTGGCCGAAAGGAGGGGAGAGTAGGAGGAAGTGAAAGAGTGAGAAGGGATAAGAAGAATGAAAATAATTTTATGATAATTTATTTATATAATGTAATTTCATCTTGGACCACAAATTAAGCCATCTCAAGCAATATTCACCCCCCTTTTATTTTAAAAAATTCAAACAATAATATAAATAATATAAAGCTTTAATTACTTTTTTAATTATATTTATAAGTCACTTTATATTATTTTTTGTGATAAGAAAAACTTTAACTCTCATTACTTATATCTTAAAATTTAATAAATTTTTTTTTCTATCCTCTAAAAAGGATTAAAATTTTAATAATTTTTCTAGCATTTAATAAAAACAAGAAGATAAGGATGAACATTAAAAACAATAACTTATAAATAAGATTAAAATTAATCTTCTTCTCTTACTTATAAATAAGACAAAAAAGTATACCATTCCACACCATTCCATTGAAAAAAAAAAAAAAAAAAAAAAAACAAAAGAAATCCCAAACATAACTATAAATGAGAATGAAAATCCACAACAGAGTAATAATTGCCATAAAATTTTGGAGAAATGTATATAGCATAACACAATGATTACCTGATAAAAACAATGATATCTTGTATGCCAAAGATATTAAAAAAAAAAAAAACGATGGTATACTCGACCCGTCCAACGCTGGTGCTGTGTAACCCAAGAAGATGTAACATATGTTAGCAAATTTCAAGAAAAAAATTATTCACAAGGAATGCAATGAATCTTTATACGTACTGATCTTTATCCTGCACTCGCGTTTGTTAGCGTCATAAGTTTCTAAGCAATTGCGCCCTAAAGATTCACAGAGACGAGGAGAACAAATTCCATTGGACCAGGAGATCTCAAATCCATGGGAAAGCGGCCTGTGAACATCAGTATAGGAATAGTTGTTTTTGTGCAAGAAGGAAACTCAATACCTCTTCGTTTGTGATTGTCGCGACCATTTTGATTTGGCACTGATCTGTCAAATTGCCCACTCCAAAGTCTCCAAGAATCGCATAAGCATAGCCTCTGGATCTGGATCTGGATCCCCAGTGACGCAGGGATTCGTGCCCACGAACTTAGGATGATCGTTTTCCCTCGCTGATCTCTCAACTGGATCGCTACAATCCAAGTAAATAATGTGCTCAAACTTGTTACCGGCATCGTACAGTGTTATTCCGTCCATAAGGATAACGAATACGGCTGAAATTGCAGAGATATAGGAATGGCGAGGGAGGGAGGAGCAATGGCCGTCGCGAATGGCAGGATCACCGAGCCGGATGATTCTATTGTGGTGGTCGATTGTCAGAAACACGGTATGTCCCGGAAACAAATGAAATGAAGCAGAGTGGTACTATTTTCGCAAACTAATTGGTATCTCCGATCGCGCGCACTCCGGCGCATCATCTGGAAGTCGAAATGGGTCGCTTATGTTTGTGATATTGCCGCACTGAGAAGGAGCACAAGCAAGACCGCTCACTTGATGCTGCAGCACAAGCACAGGAAGCAACGCTAAAGTTAAACACCACCTCCTAGTTTCCATATCAATGGTGAGAAGCGCCACAATTTTTTAGTGTGGATTTGATTTTTATTTTGTTAAAAATTATTTGATAAAAATTTATTAATAAAAATTAATTATTATAATAAATATATATTTAAATATATTTTTTAAAAGTCAATTTGATAAATTAAAAGTTGTTTGGATGAATAAAAATTTTAATTTTTAAAAATGTATTTAATATACTTTTTAATATGTAATGACTAAAAAAGAAATTGATTTATGATAATTTATAATTTATATTATATAAATATAATATATTAAAAATATTTAAAAAAATATGAAACAAATTTAAAAAACATAAAATTTAAAATGTTAAATAATAAGAATAAAAAAAATAAAAAATTTAATTTTGACAAAAAATTATGTGATAAATAGTTAAACATTCTTAATATTGAATAGTTACATGATTAACAGTTTTGATCTATAATATACAATCTGATCTCTAATAGAATACCGAACTTTATTCATTTTGTTAGAAGCTATGCTTGAAATTGCACTTGAAATTGTTGATGAAAATATATACTTGTCATTATCATTGTCATTGTTAACCATATTTTCATGTGAGCAAAAGCGAACCGAAACTAAAAATCGAATCGAATTTTGTTCTGTTTGATTTGGTGTATTTAATTTTTCGGTTCAACTCTTTTTTTTTATTTTAAATATTCGGTTGATCAGTTCGATTTGATTAGTATAAAATTTAAAATTGAATAGACTGAACCGACTGAATTACATATAATTTATTAATTTATAAATTATATTTAATTTATAAATTATTTTATTTTATTTTTGTTTTTTATTTTAATAAAGATAAAAAATAATAATATCACTTAAAACCCTATTTCGATCAGTCACTCTCATCAGTAGGTGTTGTGACTGAATTATGAGGCCATTTATTTGATCATCGGTGTTTATTTGTGGTTGTTTATTTGATTATTCATGCCTTTATAATATGAGTTTTATGTCATATGGGTGTAATTAGAATGGGCTTATATTGAAAAAATGAATAGAAAAAGGCTCAATTTTGTAATGTGTTTTGTTTTAATATTTAAAAAATAGGCTCAACTTTAATAACCCAATATGAAATCAAAAAATCAAATTAACCGACCGAACCGAATTATCAAATTTCGGTTTGGTCTTTGATCATTCAATCGGTTTGTTCAATTTAATTCGTTTTTCATTTTCATTGTTATTCGATCGATCGATTTTGCATTATTTTAAGACCAGACCGAACTGAACTGACCGATGCTCACCCCTACTCAAAACGTTTAAAGTCAGAATCAGTTGTAGATTTTTTCTAATAAAATTATGTATTGTCATTGTTACACTAAACTATACAAACTTACATTAAAATAGATAGCTAGGCATGTGTCGTAAGATTGTGAATATGTTTTTCCAAACCTCGAAAGTACTTTCAATCGTGGTCCTTAAACTTGAATGATGATAATTGAAAAACTTCATTATTATTGTAAATAGGAAACTAAGGTACTTCTTCTGCAATCATCAAAAATAAGAAGTATGTTTTAAAGCCATCCATTGTGCAATAATGATGAAATTTGGGAAGGTATTATATGGCTAAAAGGGAAATTAAGAAGGCAGTGAGTGAATCTCGTTCTAAAGTATTTGAAGAATTTTATAATAGTCTTGGAATTAAAGGATTTGTGAACAAAAAATTTATAAGATTGCTAAGAGTAAGAAAAGAAAATCAAGAGATTTAGAACAAGTGTATAAAAGGATGAAGAGGAAATGTTTTGTTTACAAATAGTGATATTAAAGACAAATAGGAGACATGCTTTTCTATGATGGCGGGGGTTCGTCAATTAACTGGAAGATTTAATAACTCTTGAAAGAGAGAAAAATTTATCATTTTATTGAAGGATACGAGTTTCGGAAGTAAGGAAGCTCTTAAAAAAAATGGCAAATGCAAAGCAACAATGGACTTAATTGTATCCCTATTATTGAATTAGAAATGTTTGGATGAAAAAGGGGTACGATGGTTAACTAAGTTATTTAATAAGATTTTATAATCCAAGAGAATGCCTGATGATTGAAAAAGAAGTATCTTAGTTCTTAGTTACAAAAATAAAGGAGATATTCAAAATTGTGCTAACTATAGAGAGATTAACTTATGAGTCATATAATGAAATTATGGAAAAGAGTGATTGAGCATAGGTTGAGATTAGAAACTGATATTTTTGAGAATCAATTCGGCTTCATGTTAGGTAGGGCAACTACATAAGCAATTTATCTACTAAGGGGATTAATGAAAAAGTATCAATGCAAAAGTAAAGATCTACATATGGTTTTCATTTATTTGAAAAAAAAAGCTTATTATGTGTATCGATAGAAAGTATTTTAGAAGGCATTGGAAAAGAAGGATGTCTAGGTTGCCTATATTCGAGCTACACCACGACATGTATGAGGGGGCAACACTAGTATAAGAATATCTGGCGGCGAAACAAAAGACTTTCCCTATAAAACTTAGACTGCATCAGGGATCATCTTTAAATCCCTTATTTGTCTAATTTAGTCTTAATGTTTTGACTAAGCATATTCAAGAGAAAATCCTTAAATGCATGCGATTTTCATGCATGATATAGTTTTATTATGGAGACAAGAGAAGTGAATAATTGTAAACTTGAATTATAGAGGAGGACATTGGAGTCAAAATGTTTCTTCTTGAGTAGGAGTAAAACAAAATATCTACATTGTAATTTGATTAAATGTCAGTGGATAGTAATTTGAAAGTAAAATTGGGTGATTAAATCATATCTCAAGTGAAAAAGTTTAGATATTTAAGAGTGCTTGTTCAACATAATGGGAAAATTGATGAAGATTTGCATATAGGATACAAGCTAGGTTGTTTAATTGGAGAAAGACTAAAATAGTTATCTACGATTATAAGTACCTAAAAACTTAAAGGAAAGTTTTATCAAATTGCTATAAGAGCAACAATATTATGATAGTGAATGTTGGGATTTTTAACAAGACAGCAAGAGTATAAAGTTGGAGTAGTAGAAATGAAAATGTTGAGATAGATGTATAGATATATACATAAAGATAAATTCAAATGAGGCACATCTAAGAAAAAGTGGGTGTCGTATCTATTGAAAGAAAATGATAGAAAATTATTTAAGATGATTTGGGAAAATACAAAGAAGACCATAGGAGGCACCCTAGATGAGAGTGGAATAGATAATTTTGAGTCCTGTCAAGAAGAGTAGAGGAAGGCCAAAAAGAATACTTTTGAAAGTTATTGAGCGAGACCTTTTAATTAACCAACATTTATAAAAGCTTAATAAATGATAGAGCACAATGGCATCATATTAATCCTTGCAACCGACTTTACCTAATGGGATAAGGCTTGTTATTGTTGTTGTTGGATCTCATAAAAACTTAGTTAACCACCACACTCTTTCTTCACTTAACCTTTTTACGTTTCAATAGAGATACAATGAAGTCCACTGGCTTATCGTTTTTCATTTTTAAGAGCTTTCTTTACCTCATTATTGCATATCCTTCAATGGAATCCCACAATTTTTTTTTCACGAGTTACTAAATCCTCCAAGTTATAGACAAACTCTCTTTATCATTGAACAATTTGAAAAAGTAAGTCTCTCATCTATCTTTAATACCACTATTGTGACCAAAACTCTTTCCTCTTCATCCTTTACGCACTTAACCTATTCCAAATCTCTTGAACATCTTTCCTTATTCTTAGCAATCTTATAATTTTTTTGTTTTCCATCCTTTGTTCCAAGACTATTGTAACTCTTCAAATATTTTAGACTGAGCTTCACTTATAGCTTTCTTAGTTTCTTTCTTAGTCATACAATACCTTTCCCAATTTCATCATTATTGTCTAAATGGATGGCTTGAAAACAATCCTTCTTAAATTTGACTTTTCTTTGTACACTATCATTATACCATCAAGACTTTTTATCTCTCCAATCAAACCTTTGATTCTCCTCAAACTTCTTAAGCAACCTTCCATATCTTCTTAGCTATATCTTTTATAAAATACTAGCACTTTCCTCGGACTTTCAAATTCCTTTGGCCAAAAGATTTCGCTTAAAAAATTCTTGCTTCTCATCTTTTAGGTGTCACCACCTAATCCTCGGAGTCACCACTTATTGACATTTTTTATTTTTACTCATAATACGCACATCAAGAACAAAGACCCTGTGTTGTATCGTTACAACAGCATCCCTAGGAATCAACTTACAATTTTTACAGAATCTTCTATCAATGTTCCTTACTAGAAGAAAATCAATCTATGACCTTAAAGATTCACTTTTATAAGTGATGAGATGCTCATCCCTCTTCTTGAAATAAGTGTTAGCAACCTTGAAATCATAAACCAAAGAATTAAGAATAGATTGTACTTTATTGTTTAGCTCCCCAAAAACTAAGGCCAACATGCACCCTTGCATATGATGACCTTTCTCCCTCCTAACTTGACCATCAAAGTCTCCTCCAATAAAAAATCTTTTCACTTTATGGTATACATTGAATCAACCCCTTCAAGTCTTTCCAAAAACAATTCCTTAAGACTACCTTTTGCCTCGGTTTGAGGTGCAAAGTGCTAATAATATTAACAGTCTCCCATCCAACAATCATTTTTAAAGAAATAATTTTGTCTCCAATTTTATTAATTTCTATCACATTCATCTTCCATTCCTTATCAACAATGATACCCACCCTATTATGTGTGTTTACTTTCTCTTTATATCAAAGTTGAAACCTTGAATATTCTTAACCTTTTCACTGGGCCATTTAGTTTCATGCAAGCACAAGATATCAATTTTTCTATGAATCATAATTTCTATCACCTTCATAAATTTACAATTCAAAGCCCCACATTTCAAGTGTCAAATTTGATCTTACTTACATGAATTAACTTCTTAACTAAACTCATTCAGAATAACACAATAGCCCTTGCTCATTCAACAATACATTTGGATATTAATACAATAGCTTTAACTCACTCATCATTACACTCGAGCCATATAACGAGTTACTTATGGGCAATGATCTAGCATTATCACAAATGGTTTGTTGTCCATATTCATGTGAAATTCAAAAATTTTACGTTGGTTATTAAAGATGTAATACAACTTTCCTCCTTTACCTTACCAGAATCAGGACTGGCTATAAACATAGCGAAAATTATGATTGATTAAAGCAAAGGACAGAGAGAGAGAAAGTGAGAAGATGAACTCACAGTAGCAGGTGCGGCTGATGAGGAGGTAAGTCGTTTCTGTTGACGACGGTGGCTGTTGCGAACCAGGAGATAGCGATGGCAAAGAGCACAAACGAAAAGAGAAGGAGAGAGAGAAGCTGTGAATACTAGAGAACGTGCGGGATGATAAAATATGGTGAGGGTAGTTCCAGAAGGGGGGGGGGCCAAAATCTATCCAATTTGAAGAGAAAGTTTTGAGGTAAAAATACATGGAGCCCACACCATTTTTTATCCCCCACTTTTCCTTCTTTTTCCCATTTTCACAGCAGCAGATGTATATTTTTCACAGCATTAATGTCAGAAAAAACGAAGTCAGTTGGGGGAAAAAAAAAATAGTAGTCAACAAAACTTGTTAGCTGGAGCAGTTTCGACTATTGAGACACAGTGGGGATCACTTTCGTGCATTTAGCATTTTCAGAACTTTGATACCCAAAAAAAAAAAAAAAAAAACAGAGAGAGAGAGAGAGATACCGCCCTATTAAATAATTTACTGTGCAATCCCCATACTTGCGTAAATCTTTGAATTGAATGCAAAAGCACTCAAATACACGCAGTACCATATACATAGGCGCATTTGCAAATAAATAACAAGGATTAAAGGCAACCACAAAATATTGTGCTTACCAAAGTTCTTACAAACTATATATCAGTGATGCAGAAGAACTAAATGAAACTCCCATAATAAACTAAAATCATAATGAGTTCCCCCCCCCCCCCAAAAAAAAAAAAGAACAAAGGAAAAAGAAAGGAAAAATATAATGAAAGTTCTAGCTTAGTCAACAAGAAAAGCTTTACCAGAACCACACCCTAATTGCTCATATAATTGAAGCAATTACTCGCAGAGCTTCTCAACTGCCGTCACAATCTGTGCAGGTTGAACTACAGTCCATTCCTCCAATGTCCCAGCATATGGGGTTGGCACATCCTGAGAGGATAAACATACAACAGGAGCATCCAAATAATCATGGAAATTTTCGTTGATGGCAGCTGTCAAACTAGAACCAATTCCACCTGTCCTCATGCATTCTTCAACAATTAGCACATGGTGCGTCTTCTTGATTGAATTCCCAATTCTGTAGAGATCAAATGGTTTCAAAGACCTGATATCAATTACTTCAGGGTCATACCCCTTGTTCACCAATGTCTTGGCAGCCTGCATTACATGATACCTCATCCTGGAATAGGTCAATATGGTTACATGCTCTCCAGGCCTAACCATCTCAGCTTCTTCAAGCGACAATACATACTCTTTCATCTGGAATTCTCTCCTTGAGGTTATAAAGCAGGACATGCTCAAATAGTATCACAGGATTCTCACTACGAATTGCAGCTTTCATCAAGCCCTTGGCATTGTAAGGGGTTGAGCAAGCCACCATCTGTATTCCAGGGATTGACTGAAAATATGACTCCAGTCTCTGGGAGTGTTCTGCCCCTAATTGCCGCCCAACTCCACCAGGTCCACGGATAACAATTGGTATTTTAAACTGACCTCCAGAAGTGTAATGGAGCATGCCGCAATTGTTGGAGATCTGGTTAAATGCGAGAAGCAGAAATCCCATGTTCATGCCCTCAACAACTGGCCTCAGACCAGTCATGGCAGCCCCAATACCCATCCCAGTGAAGGAGTTCTCAGCAATAGGGGTGTCCAGAACCCTGAGGTCACCAAACTTTTTGGCCAGATCTTTAGTCACCTTGTAAGATCCTCCATAGTGACCTACATCTTCACCCATGACGCATACAGTGGGATCCCTTTCCATTTCTTCTTCCAAACCTTCACGTAAGGCCTCAAAAAGGAGAAGTTCATGTCTGAAATCAAATATGCATCTGGTTAATGGCAGAAATAGGCCCTACCTCCAGAACTAGTGGGCACTGTAAACTAGGAGAAAACTTAAAACATAGTTCCAAGGTTTAAGCAACATCAACCATTCACGTCTACATTATAGATCATGCCTTAAGAATGTCCCAAAGGTTTTGATCCCACATCATTGCCCCACATTTATTCAAATATTGAATTTGTTGCAGCAATCCATCAGACCAGTGAGGAACATAAAAAATTATGAAGTTGTTAGTTTGCTTAAGAATTAATTATTAATTAGTAGCAATTACTACTTGTGTCTTCATGCCACTATCATAGCACAACTTTCCCAAGATCAGATACATAGACAAATATTATAATAAAATATGGCAGTGGATGGCACTTGATTGCTATTTTTTTTTTTTTTTTCATTTTAACTTCCAAAAGACTTTAAACTTTTATGCAGCATGTATATACACAGAATAAAGAAGAACAAGACATAGTAGAAACCTGAATTAAAAGGCCAGACAACTGGACTAAAATGAAACTGAGATTTTTCTATTACATATGTTTTCCTGCAAATGTGCTTTTCTATCGCCAAGATAGTTTAAATGATAATGATAAGGATAACAAAAATAAGCAATCATATTTGGATTTTGGTCCTTGTTAAAATTAGCCAATTAAAAATATTGCATGCATGTGGAACAATCCAGGCATGCCAGAACAAGTACTGAGCCTGATGTTCTCACAAGGCATTTGCACAAAATAGTCCTTATTTGTTGTGATATTTTATTTTCTAACAAAGTAGGCTATTGGTTGAACAGAAAGACTTCAACATGCAAAGACATTAATCCCTGCTTGTTTATTTTCCCTTGTTCTAGAAAGAAGATTTTCCTGACCAAAAGATACCAAAGGAAGGACAATTATATTACGTATGAGACTGTGAATTCATGTAAATGCATTTTTAAGTGCACTAGCATCCACCACGCTGTGCCTTTTGCCTGGAACATAATTGTAAGCCCCCCATCTTTAGAGCCCAAATCAGGCATCAAGAAAAGATGGCATTTATTCAAAATGCATCACTCTTAAGTAACAGAGTAAACCCCCCCAGCGTACCATCACCAAGCATGTAATGTGCTGTCTGGTATGGAATACTTGAGGCTAGACATATACAGAAACGAGAACAGTTGTATCCCAACAAATAGATCCAATAAGTCAATGATACTTAAGTGCATCTTATTCAAAATTAATTATATGTCATACAGATTCTGTGATGCTACTCATTTCAGAACAAGAATCTTCACATCTCTGGGGTATATACCCTCTATCATCACTCCTGCCATGTTATTATCATCACCATTCAAATTTTCACTCTCCCACATATGATAATTTATTGCGCTCGGAGAATGCCATTACTGGGGCTTCTGTGCTGAGCTTAGCTGTGATACAGAGACTAAAAATTTGAATAGGTACTTCAGGATTGGCAATAACATTTCTTGTTAGAATTGTATAAGGCGCGTTTATATATGAAGGTTTGTACAGCCTGTTCTTCATAGCTATGCCTTTTTGTTTCTGCAAGCTTGTATTGTTGCTTGTAATAAAAACAGATTAAATATATTCTTTGGTTCCTTAACAAACAAACAAAAAGTGTGAATTAAAAAAAAAAAATCAAATTGGTTTATACCAGAACTATTTCATACTTTTAGGTATCATTTCCAAGCAGACAGAAATGCTGCCAGAAGCTCAAGTTCCTTTAAAGTTTAAACAATATATTTCAAGTGTTCAATATTACAACAACAACAAAAAACCTTATCCCACTAAGTGAGGTTAATTATATGGATTGTATGATTTTATTATACTCCAAGCGTTCAACTATTATCCAAAGTTATTTATATTCCAATTTCAATTGTAGAAGGAAAAAATGAAATGTAGAAGGATTGATAAGGTTGCTAGTTTCCCTCCTCCTTTGCTCTCCCACAAGGAAGTCTAAGTTGATTTGCACTTTTTACATTTATCATTTACGACGTTTTCTTTTTTCATCGATAATCCAAACATTCTAAGTGTTAAAACTATTTCTGATAACTTTTAGATGAAACGTTAGGGTGAAAACTGGAACAGTATCATCAATTTGAGTTACATTGGACTGCATTAAAAGGTCAATTTAGCACTAAAAGTACTATACAAACAAGAACATGGCTTCCATCTCAAAATTATATTACAAGATATCATCGAATAAAGATTAAGCAGGAACGAGAAAGACAGAGGAGAAGCCAGATATACAGAGAGAGACAGCCGTGGATGAGATGGAACAGTAAGTAGTTAAAGTTAGAAAACCTACCCAGGTTTCGATGAAGTAGAAGCCGCAGAACTATCTCCTTTAGTCTACAGAAAACCCACAAAAACTTAGGGACGCGAGGCTAGAATGAAAACCCATTCGCGTTGGTCCAATAACAGATTTGGAACGGTGGAGAAGAAAACCAAACTCGGAAAGTAATGGAAGAAAGATAACTTACTGCAACTGCTTTTGGTAATCAAGCGTTCAGCCTTACGAGCTCCGGCACTGAAGTTCAAACTCGCATCAGATCTGACTACAATATGCCAGCTTTCCTCCCTGAACCAGTAGTACGTTAAACCAAAGTGTAAGAATCAACGTTAGAGTCAATGACACGGTACATACCCAAAAGACAGACTATAACTAGAAATGACAGAAAAAGGAACAGCAATTGGAATCATAATCCTAGAATTCCAAACATTTATGGATCGCAGAAGGCACTATCTCTGTCACACTGCAAAAGTGAGTCCAGTAGAATCAATAACTACAAATCCACAAGGGCAATCCAGCAAAGCATAACGGGAGATAAAAATGAGATAGGAAGCGAACCCGAGAATTTCTTGGAGTCAAGTGAGTTTGAGGCAGAGAAAGCGGAAGCAACAGCCACAAGGGGCGCCATTAATGAATGAGGAAGGAAATCGAAGATTGAAAAAGACGGAAATGAGGAGAGAAAGCAGGGATGGGAATACTATAATACGAGAGAAATGAGAATAGGAGAGGAAGAGAATGGGCGGAGAAATTGAGGAGAGAATCGATATCGCCGATGCTCCCGAGCTATGGGTCTCTCTGGTCGACGCACGGTGTTTCTCGCATGAAAGCGAAAATGATATTTGTGGCATTGCGAGAAAATTTAATATTTTGATATTTATAAAATTTGGAAGAAGTATTTTTCCTTCAACGGACTTATTTAAAATTTATAAATAAACCCGTTTTATGAAATTCTTTGAAAGCAAACTTATTTACGTCTTAGTTTATATAGTAGATTTATTTATAAATAAATTTTATAAAATTATTTAAAAATTATAATTAAAAATTTTAATTTTGAGTGTAATTTGAATTAAAATTCAAAGATAATACTGTTCATAATTATTAAGTTTAACTTTTAAATATATAAAATTATAGTTGTAAAATATTAAAGTGATAGATATTAACTTATTTATCTGATAGTTGCATACAATAGTTGTACGTAGTTGAATAATTAGTGTTAAATTTTATTAATAGTGTATGATCTATTTAACTATTGAATATATGAAATTAATTATAGTTATTAAATATTGAAATAATAGTTGGTAAATTATTGATAAGGCTGTTATAATCAATTGTAATATTTAGTAAATTACTGATGAAATTATTGTAAACAATTACTAATGGTTTAACAATTGTATATGTATGGTTATATACAGTTGTAAAAGTTAGAGTAGTAATAGTTATAAATTATTAATAGAATAGTTATGAATTACTTGATTATATAATATATTTTTAATAGGAATATTATTTTATCTTTATATTTTAATTTTAAATTACACTCAAGTCTCAAGTTTTTAAATTTTGAGAGATTTATTTGTAAATAAGTTTGATCCACTAACCATAGCCAAATTATATTTTAGTGAGGGATTTTGTCTCTCGCCAATTCGTAGTTAAAAAAAGGCTTATTAAATTTAACAAGGAATCGTATTTCCCTCATTAATTAGCAAGAGATTCAATCCTCATTAATTTTAATGAGGAACTAAATCTCTCACTAACATCCTTCGCTAAATTATTTAAATTTTGATAATTTAGCGGGGGATTAGTCCGTTGTTAAATATTGCTTATATTTAAAAATAGTGATGTTATATCACCCACCCTGGGTTGCGTCAACTGTGACATATCACCACAATCTCGTTACACCCTATTACCAGCCACATGTGCAATGGACTCATGATATGTCATTATCCACCTTAACGTTATGTCACTTGCTCTTTATCATATCTATACATTCATTATGTTTATGTCAAAGTTTAAAACTTAAACCTTTAACCTCATACCTTAAAAGCCTTCTTATATTCTTTTTCTTGTCAATTAAATGAAAAAGCACCTGCACTTATATATAAAAATAAAATATATTTATTTAATTAAATAAGATATTCAAATAATATATTATAAAAATACACCATATACTACATATTAAATTTTATTTTCAATTATAATATGTATAAAATATTTATATTTTATTTAAATTTTTCTTTATATTATATTTTTAATAAATATTATTTTATTAATGAAAATCAACTTAAAATAAAGAAAATATTAAATAATTTTATTATGAATTTTTAGTTAATTTTTAAATTTAAATTTTTATTTTTAAATAAAAATAATTAATATATAATTAAAGTTATTATCAAAAGTTATTTTTTTAATAATTAGCTAGAGATAGAATCCCTCCCTAATTATCTTTTTTAGAGAGGGATATTAGTTCCTTGCTATTTTTTTTTGTGCTAATTTCTTATTTTAGAAAGAACAATTTGTAGTCCCTCATTATTTTTCTCACTATTACTCATATTTTAGAGAAGTATTAGTAGTCCATTGCTTATTTTCTTCGTTTTAATTGTCTTATTTTAGGGATGGATTGATAGTCCGTCTCGCTTTTCTTTACTTAATTCTTTTATTTAAAGAGAGATAACAGTTTCTCGCTATTTTACTTTAATTTTAAATCAAGTTATGAAATCAACTCCCTTACTAATTTCCTCACTAATTTGATATTTTAGAGAGGAATAGATGATCCCTCACTAAATTTTTTCACTAATTTTCATTTTTTTAGTAGTAATATACATAATTTTCCCTACAAATAAGGATTTAATAATATCATGTTTCTTAATATATTTCATAAAATATCTTATTTCTATGATCATTATTGATATTTCTTATGATTTTATTTTTTAATCATTTTCAAAAAATCTAAAAGTAATATTTTAACTTAGTAATATATAAAAATAATAGATAAATTTTTTAACGATATAATTTTATTAAAAATTATTACAGTCTAACGTATCTTAAATGAAAAATAATTATATTTTTTATTAATTAAAATTTTGTTCATTTTTTATAAAATATTTTCAAAAGAATTTTAATTTTGAAAAAAAAAAAATCAACTATTATTATTCAATATATACTCCTTCTGTTTTTATCTATAAAATATTTTTTAATTTTTTTCTTTTAAATAAAAGAGATTGTTACAAAGTTGTTAAACTCTCGAGTTGACTCTCCAAATTTAACATTTTTATATTTCTAGCTTACAAAATCATGTCAAATCACTCATAAGCTCAAACTAAATATACACTCGGTTAAACTTGCAAGTTTATATTCAAGTTTACTATTTTTATGTTTCTAACTTATAAAATCATACTAGCTAATTCATAAACTCGAATTATACATAAACTTAGTTAAAACTTGTTAAGCTTATCGAATTTTATTTTTTTGTGGGAGTTATGGTCCAATTAGTGAAAAATATTCCATAAAAAAACAACAATTTCAGTTTCAGATTTGATTTTGCACATAATATGGTTACATGTTTATGGAACAAGAGCTAGCTCACCTTGCATTATGATCACAAACAATTTGTGATATAAGGAAAAAATATTTGCAAATTGATTTTGTGATGGATTAGTATACTTTTCTATTTGCCACAATGTCTAGGTTGGACTTAGCATGAAAAATTTTCATTACAAATTCTGTCACATGAATTTTATATTTTTGTTATAGTGTCTCGGACAAACATTTTTGATAATAGAATTTGATTTGACTAGCTAGAAAACATAAGATCAAAATATGGTTGAAATGTTCTAGACTAGGTTGGACTTAAAACTCCCTTGATTGCATTAAATCTACATGTACAAAACACGTGCACAACCACACACATCACAAACCACGGCTTTCAAACCTTAGGACGATCTTCTCAGGGGCGGCCAAAAGAAACCCTAGTACTTAGGTCTCATCACCCTACACACACACACACACACAAACACACACAGACACACACACATATTCGTAGACCCCTTTAGATCCAAAAGCTATACAAAAGCGGCCGCCATCGGGCTTTATTTGAAGCAGAAGGTTTTTCTTTGGTTGCTGTTAACGATTTAGACATGTTATCGATGGAAGTTTCAGGTCAAGAAGATGATGATGGTGATGAAGCTCTGAGAAAAGGATTCACGCCTGCCTTTATAAATCAGATCAATGGAATACTAAATGAAGGTATATGTGGAATTTGACCATCATTCATGTAATCTTCTAGATCTTGTGTGTGTGTGTGTGATTATCATTTGGTGCTATCGATCATAAGCTAAAAAAATTATATCGCGAATCAATGAATTATTTCGGAAAAGAATAACAAATTTACAATTGCTGAGTTTCATTGACATTAGTTAAGGATTTTAGGGGTAATTAAAAATTAGGATTTTATGTTCAAGATTTAGGATTAGAGTGTCATAATTTTTTTCCACCTTTAATTATTTGACAAATCTTAACTTGCACATTCCATTTGATAGAAGTTCTCCCCCACCCCCCAAAAAAATATATTGAAAGAAATTATTTGATAGATGATGATAATAATTATGTTCTTGCCCATCCGTAAGCGAATTCGTAGGTCCAAAGATGAATAATAGTGCTTGAAACTTCAACTAAACAAATTAGTGGAAGAAATAAAATTGAGGTGCTAAAATTTATTCTATCTAATTTGATTTAAATAAAATTGTTCAATCTGCTCATTCAACATGGTATAATGCTACAAAAATGGGCTAGGTAAACATTTTTTAAAGGAAAAAATATAATAGTAAATCCCCTACTGTGATTATATTTTGTTTTTAGTCTCTATATATAGTTTTATTTAGTTATTTCCAGTTTCTTTAATTTGATCAGTTTATAACATAAATTCCTTGTATGAATTTTTCTCTTTTGTATACGTACATGTAATGGATTGGCTTTCCCAGACACAAGAATGTCAAGTGTATCAAACACAGAATCAAAACCATTCTTGTGAGATGGAAAACCTCAATCTCCAAGGTGAACATAGTCGAAGAAACGAAGATCTAGCACAGAGCATTAGAGAAATGATTTCTGTAAGTAAAATAATATGATTTATCTTCTATTAATGTTCTGACGAGTGAAATTTCATGTGTGCATCTTTTCATATGAAATGTGCAGAAATCAGTTAAAGACCTCATAGCTGATAGTTGAGGAAAGAAAAAAGAGAATTGTTCTACCAATAATTTTTCGAGACTGAAGTCATGAGAAATATTCAGAAACGCAGCAGAAGAAGAAGGATAAAGAATGATGATTGTGGTGCTGAAAATATCCAAGACATGACATCGTGGTACTGAAGTGCCTCGATCAGCTTACTAAAAATCTATAACTAAGGTAAAGTATATATACATGTATGTCTACTTGTCGTCCAGAACAAATATATACTAAGATTCATGCATGCTTTATTATTTTGTAAAAAGTTATTATTTCCCACCTATTATTTGTCATTTTTAAATTTTATTCAGACATTGGCATTATTTTTGGGACAGATATCGCTGAAAGAAAGTTAAATTATTATTTAATTGAAATAAGAAGAAACAAGTTGTAAAGAACAAGCATTGG